CCCCAAAACCCCAAAACCCCAAAACCCCAAAACCCCAAAACCCCTCAAAAACTAGCCTATATTGAATTGTTGACATTTTAAATATCAATTTAAATTTCTAAATGTTCAAGATTTCTTTAAAATCCTGAGAGAAATCAACTCATAGCTCTAGCCGATCAAGGCTAGGTATCTTCTTATATATTTTTTCAAGGTCGTCTAGTAGTAGCTGGTCTCCCTTCCATTGCTTCTGAGGGACAATCTTCTGTTTGAGCTTCTTTTTACCTGGATTACTATCGACAGAATGAGTATTACCGAACACCACCTTATTCCTACTGAGAGGCATAGCATATGTGTTCTGTGAAGCTTCTTCTTGCTGCTTCTTATTACTGCTATGCTGCCTAGTTTTGTTCTCCTTGCCTTTCCTCACAGAGTTCTTGTGAGGTTTACCAGCAGAAGAGAGGTCAAGCTCAATATTATTTAGAAGCCTCTTCTTTCATCTTATTTTCTTTATTTAAGCTTATGTATAATTTTATCTTTCTTTTGTAGCTCTTCCATATGAGTCTTTGTCATGTCCTGGTTTTGGATTTCAAGATGAGCAATTCTCTCGTTTAGTGAGAATATGCTCTTTTCCTTGTTATCTGCTTCTAGTTTTAAAATTTGATTTTGTTCTCTCAATTTCTGGACTTCTTCTCTTAATTTCAGCAATTCATCCATCTGGAATGCATTGGTCATGAAGTCTCCATTGCTGTTGATATTCTTAACAGAATTACTTTTGACTGCAATATTTGGGTCGTAATGCTGCGGGATGATATTATTCTGGACGTTTCTGTTTCTATTTTTGATTCAAAATATCGCTAATTTTAACATGGGACAAGTCATTATTGGGCTTTAAGTTAACTCTTCCTAATTCGTTGAAAAATGGATCATAGGCCCCTCTGGCACTCTCAATTCCTCTCTTCTGAGCTTGGCTCTTAGGCCGATGAGGGTACACAAACTCTGAGGATGGATTGTAGTCTATCGTACGTAGATTATTCATATTTAATATTGTTCAACTGGCTGCTAAAAAGTTGGGGTTTTGGGGTTTTGGGGTTTTGGGGTTTTGGGGTTTTGGGG